AACCTAAATATGAACAGCTTTGTAAGGGTCTATCTCACAGTAATTCAATAAAAATAAATAAATAAATAAAAGACCTAAACTGTTACCAAAGATCAAAAAACAAACAACAAATAATAACAAAAAGCTCTACATTTGGGCTGGAGCTGTAATATAGCAAGTAAGGCATTTGACAACCCAGGTTTAATCCAGTACTGTATAAGTTTCCCCAGATCTCTCCCAAAGTGATCCCTTAGCATAGAGCAAGGAGTAAACCCTGAAAACTACTGGATATGGTTTCTTAACAAGAAGAAAGCTTCAAGCTCTCCAGATCAGCCAGGGTATACTCTTTGTTACTCCTTGTTATTACTCCTGGGGCCAATCAGGATTAATGATTCAATGTTTGGACCTGATAATATGGTGCTCCTGGCAATGGAGGGAGGCAATGCTGGCAGCCTGCAGGAATCAGCCCATCAGTTTGGGAGCAGAGGATACAATGCTGGGGTCCAAATTCAGGACCTTGCAAATGGCACACATTTATGGGTCACTCTGAGCTTTTTTCCTAGGCACCGTTCCCATTTTAGAGAAGAGATAACTCAGGCTGTGAAAAATTGAGTGTCTCATAGAGTAACAGCAGGATACTCATGATTCAAGCCCCCATCAGACAGCTTTAGTTCTTACCTGATTCTGCAATACCACAGGTTGATGTTGCTAGAAACAAGGGCTTGTGTACATTTGATTTCAGCCAGCCTTCCTGCACGCTCCAGACCAGGTCAGTCTGAATATGCAGTGTCCAAATAGACTGAACTGAAGACCAAGATATACAGAATTGTCAAGATATACAGAGGCCATACCGAAGGTCTCATCATCTCAGTCTTGCAGCTTTATTCGAGCTCATGTTCAAGATATTTTTTTCTCCCAGTCTCACCACCACACAGACTACAGTCTCCTGGTGCCAATTCCTCAGGCTGGTGCCCATGGAAACCTCCTTGAGAACACAGCACAGTCCTGGGAGGTCCTGCTGCCTGCATTGAGCTCATTCTTCGTTTCAGAGAATGTGTTGGGTGAACTTTCTGACAGAATCCTGCCCTGAAATTCTTGGTAACTGGCCCCAAAATACAGCCCATTTACACAGAATGACCCCTAGTTTTCTGAAGGGTGTATTTGTGCCCAAGCCTGTTGGACACCTGCCTTTAATGCAGATTCAGGAGGAAGTGGGCTGTGTCCTCACACAGACCCAGAGGCCCATCTCCTTTGTGTTTTATGCTCCTCCTGCTCCAGGGCACCCAGAGCCTCTGGGTGGCTCTAAGCAGAACCTCAGCACTAGGGTCAAGGGAGGCAGGTGGGAGACTGAGGAGGTGGGAATAAGGGAAGAGTGAACCCAAATATTGGAATTAGTTACAGAGAGTCGGATCATGAATATCTGATCTGATTCTGAGCCATGGTCTGGTCTGGGGCTGGGTGGAAGGGCAAAGGTTGGCTCTGGCTTTTCCTTCTAGCCCAGCCTCTGACCATGGTATTCTGGCCATCTGGAACTCAAGTATTCTCTGATCTGTGCTCTAGTATCTCTGGCCTCTGGGATCTGGCACATGCATCCCTCATCTCCCACTCCCAAGACTCTGCTTTCTGATGGGTACATGCCAGCATTTTTTTGATACCCTGCCTGAGCTGTCATTTGCTCAGAAGGTTGTCCCGGGAACCCTCAATCAAGCCAGGTCACTCTGCATACTCCTTAGGACAAGGAGTATCCCTACCTTGTGTAGACTTGGAATACAGAAGGTGCTCCATGCATTTTTGTTGAGGAGAAAGAAAAGGAGAGAGGAAAGAGAACAGGAAACTAGAAAGGCACATGGGGAGCACCTTCCTGTCAAAAGGAGGATTAGTGTTAACCCTTGGAAGGAATCCAAGGGCAGAAATTGTCTCTTGTTCAACATTATGTCCACAGTCTTCAACAGAGTAAAGAGTGGTGGGGATGTGAAATGGATGAATTTATTTTAAACACTTGACCTAAGTTATTATATTTGCTTTAATGAAGGGACAGGGTGCTCCCAAGCCATGTTCAGGAGATCTGGAGGCCGCACCAGTGATTCTCAGCCAACCAGGCCAGGAGGTCAGTGCAAAGGCCTAAGGATGAGGTGTATGGTGCTGGGGTCACACTGGTATTATTTTTGGTTTGGGGCGGGTGGGGGGGTTGGTGTCACACTCAGCAGTGCTCAGGGCCACTTCTGGTTCAGTGTCTGCGCTTAGCCCATTGATCATCTCCCTGTTCGAGAACTACTGGTTTTTGGTAACAACTTGATTTTTCAGAGCATTATATACATACATATAAACTCTTAAGAATGAAAATCTTAAAAATTAAACCAGGGAAAAATCACTCACTGAATTGCCAGTTATACCACCAATCAAGCCAGTTTGAGTTATAAGCTTACAAACAGGGGGAGGCTATTGTCCAGAATTAATGATGCTGAAAAGAAAATGTCATTTCTCCCTGCTCCCTCCTCTTGTATTGTGAACTAAACTCCTATACTCAAGGACTTTACCACTGTGCTGCAGCTTGGTCCATGAAATGAACTGCATTTTCTTTAAGTATTTCAGCAATGTTATTCTCCAGAATACTTGGAGAAAATGCAATTCATCTGCTGGGCTAAAATGCCAATTTTGGCTTCCTCCACCTGTAAGCCAGCATGGAAAATATGTGAACTAGGGAGCCTTAAGGAACCTGATGTTTGAACCTGATATGTGAACCTTAGGGAGCCTGATGTTTGGACCGAGCTATCAGTAACTTTCAGGAAATTTTGTTTAGTCTCTTGATTCTTTCCTGTGAAATGGGGAGCATGCCAGTTGTCTTATAGAGTGGCTGAAGCTCACAGTGAAATGTATTCAGCCTGGCCCTGGCATGAACCAAGCTGATCCTTGATGGCATTGTTTGAAAGCACGCTCTGTTTCACTTGTTTGAAAGAATGGTAGCTGGGCTCATAGTGTTAGAGAGCTCAGGCAAGTGGCTCTCCAGCAGAAAGAGGCATCATTTCTTTACAGGGGTGAGAAAGTGGGGGGGCAGGAAAACCAGAAAACAGCAGCCAATAGTGGCACTGGAAATAAGAGAGACCTGGTGATCTTGCTGAGGGTCACTCCTGGTTCATTCCTGCTTCTCCTGTTCTGGTTTTCAAGAGGAAGGTTTCTGGGAAGAGGAGGACCCCAGTGGGTAGAAGAAAGAGTCTTGCTTTTCCAGCTGGTGCATCTCCTTAGTGCTTTAAAGAAAATCAGATTTTTTTTTACATCTTTTATTTTGTTTATGTATTTTTGGCTTTGGAGTCTTTACCTGGAAATGTTTCAGGGCATACTCTCGGCTCTGTGCTCAGGGAGCACTCCTGGCAGTGCTCAGGGGATCATACTCAGTGCTAGGAATTGAACCTGAGTTAGCTGTTTATAAATGCTTTAACCTTTGTGCTATCTCTCTGGCCCTTATATTTTAAAAAGCGGGGTGCAGAGAGATAGTGTGGAGGTTTGCTGGCAGGGGGTAGACCCAAGTTTGATCCTCAGCACCCAGTGCTGTTTCTCAAGCATGTCAGGAGTACTCCATGAGCACAGAGAGAGGAGTAAGCCCTGAGGCATTGCTAGGTGTGACCAAAAAACAAACATAAATATCATATTTTTACTTTAAAAGAAAATTATGTTCATTTTATGAAATTCACACATGCAAAAAACGAAGGAAATAATCCAAATTTCCCCCTGTAGAAACCACTGAAAACGTCTTGAAGTCTATCCTTTTAAAGTTTTTTTTCTAGGCATTAATCAGTGCATTCTTGTTTAACAAAGGAGATGGAGTGGTGCTCCCATTCTGTAACCTGATCTTTCTCCCTGAGCAGCTTGCCAAGACTGAAAGGGAGAGGATGTAATGTTACACTAGCAGGTATCCTGGATGTCAGGGCGCCTGACCCCAGGTACTCACTGTACGCCCCACCCCACCCCCTGCCTCCTGCTCCCAGTGAGAAAAATAGCTGGTTTCTGTTTTACCTCTGTGAACAGTAATTCCCTGAACATCTTTTTTTTAGGGGGCCTCCTCCACAACCGTCAAGGGACCAAATGGTTCGTGCTTGAGCCCAGTAGTACTGAGGCACCCCAGAGTTACCCCAGCAGCACTTGTGGGGAGCGTGTGGTGCCAGGGATCAAACTCAGGGCCTGGCACTGACAACCACTCCAGTGCTTTGAGCTTCCTCCCAGCCCCTCTGCTAATAATAATTTGTTAGACAAATCTTTAGGAAATCAACAGGATTGCCTAACAGGGAATTTTCACAGTCAATAGGAATCTTCTCAAGAAAGAGGAAAACAGAGATCACATGTTTAAATCTTAAGGCTCCTTTGGCAGGGCGGAGAGTTGTAGCTCAGCACTACGCTTTTTCTGATACTGTTCAACTTCTGAATTTATCATGTCTGTTTTGGTAGCATTTGGGGGGGAGGGTGTGCTAGTATCAAACCCAGGACCTTCTCCCACATGCCAGACACGTGTTCTACCACTGAGATATATGCCTAGTCCCAAATTTATCTTAAATGTAGCTTCATTTCTAGTCAACAAACTTAAAAAAATAAACAAGATGTGAATTGTTCCTGTCTTTAAAGAGCTTACTGTTTGGGAACAGAGATGAGACAAAATAGCTCAATAAATTAGTTTTTTCTCTTATTTAACAGGAAAGTAAGTTACACAAAGTAAGTTGGCTTTACACCATGATGAGCAAGAATAAATGGACATAGTAATATGAATACTAGTATTGAGTGAAAACTTACTGTGTCTAGAAAAAGAAAAGGTATACTATGTTAAGTGACATCTGTCATTCTCACAGTCATATTTTGACCTAGATAGCAATATCAACATTATACTGTGGAAACTGAGGTTCAGGGTTGGTAAATGACCTGTTCAGGTAACTCAGCCAGTAAGTGGCAGAGCCAAGAACTCGGATGCTCTGAAGCTGCCAAGGCACAGCCATTGGTAGGTGACCCAGAATAATTTCTGTGACTTTACCTTCTAGGTACTGTGGCCTGAAAACCAGCTTGCTGGCATCATCCCTGGTGGGGTTCATGGCGTCTAATCAGTGCAACTTCCACTCCCCCATCAGCTTCCCTCTGATTCCAGTGGCCGCACTGGCTGTGGAGAAAGTGGGCCGCTCCAGCGTGCATTACCGTCTGGCTCTGTTCCGACCCAAGTCCGCCCCAGCCCAGCCTGTAGTGGAGCACCAGGACCTCACCGATGGCTTTTTCTCTGGCCACCCCAAGCTGGCACAGTTTGACACCCTCGCCTGTGCCACAGGATCTGCAGTCCATGTTTTTGTGAGTCCAGCCACGAGCAGGCCTGTGGGGCTCCCAGATGATTTCTGGAAGAGCCTCCTGAGGCTGAAAAATCCCATTGCTGTGTAAATGTTTGTGCACGGAAGTGTACCTGTCAGAATACAATTTCTCTTAACAGTTTCCTTTGAACTTCTTAGCATGAATTTTTACTCATAAAATGACTGTTCCATACATGTTTTTCTAACCACTGTCATGCATCTCCTTGCATCAGGCTTTGAGCAAGGGGCCTTCCACACTGGACCTCACAGAGTCCACAAAGACCCCAGAGAGGCGAGGAATGCTCTCACCTCTTTCCAAATGAAGAGGTAAAGGAAATCAATGGCGTGGATGAAACTGCCCTGTAGTCACTGGAGAATCTCTGAGTTTCCTTGGGTATGCCTGCTGCACCCTCTTGATCTCAGTAACTTAGTTAAGAGCACAGCTCTAAGTTTCCTGTGGTTTGGGATCACTAATTTGATAGATTCCATAAATATCCTCTGCTTTTGACAGTGAATCACACATTCACCTTTTTTTTCCTTAACAACCTAGACTTGTATGCTGTAAAACCACTTTTCATGCATTCACAACAAACCACTGACCATTTTCTGGTGAACCCATGGGCTGAAGACTGATAATAACTATGATTAAATAAAACTTTTGATATAGAGACAAGTCCTTAACTTTGGTCCACACTTTGGTATCATAACATTAATGGTCATCATTGACCAAACACTGACTATCTCAGTTAAGGATTAAGTTAGTGTCATCCTTTTTGCTCTTCCCTCGGTAAGTGTTATGTTGCCACTACTCAGATGAGCATGTTGAGGTGTTTGGAAGTGGGGAAAAGAGAGCTAACCACATCTGAGCCTCAGTGTTGTTCTTTGAACACACGATCCTAAGTGACCTCTTCTACTTGGATCCCTGAACATTATTTGAATGTATGGAGCCCTTAGATCTGTGTTTCAGTTGCATTTCACATTCCCCAATCATTCTCTCTTGGGTTACACTGAATTTGCTGGCCTGCATTTGGCTCTCATGGTTATGGGGATGCCACTGGCTCCCCACACCACAGCTGCCATTGCAATTGCCCAGTGCCACAGAGGACTTGTCAAAATCCAAAATGAGACTGCTGTTGCTTTAAACCACTGAATTGGTGTAGTTGTTTACTCCTACAGAATAATCCAGTTTTTCCTTTTTCTTTCAAGATCTAACCTCATGGATTGGTGTGAGGGTTACACGAGATTGCATAAAAGCACTTGGCATAGTTTAATGTTTATCATAGGAGGAAATAAATGCTATGTGTAGTTACAACATAAACTTTTCCATGATTGGAATGTAACCAGTCCATAGATTTCATTCATGTGCCTGTGTGGGATATTGGGCTTTCTCTTTTGTATGGGAAAAATAATGGGTACCCAAAGCTCCTGAATTGCTGGGTCTGTAGTCTTAGACTCTGAACTTGATCAGGAATGAGTGTACAAGTTGATTCTTCAGAAGGAGCCCCAAATTTTCGTCAATCTCACAAGTGCTGGTGACACAGTAGTTTCAGTGCTCAAAATTTTAATATCTCAGTCTATGCCAAAGCAATGAACTTTACAACACTCATTGGCATTTAGTGAGAAATTCTAGCACTGTAAACTCATTTCAAGACAATGATTTTTTGTTTTTCTTTTTTCTTTTTGTGTCACACCCTGCGAAGGAGTTACTTCTGGCTCTGCACTCAGGAATTACTCCTGGCAGTGTTCAGGGGAACATATGGGATGCTGGGGATCGAACCCAGATTCGCCACGTGCAAGGCAAACACCCTACCTGCTGTGCTATCGCTCCAGGCCCCTCTTAATTCAAGACTAAGGAGGGAGCCAAATATCTCTGTTGGTGCTTGAAAGGAGCCAGGTTTTATTAGAGTTGGCAAAATACATAAGATAAAATTTAAAAGAAAAAAAAAACAGCCATTCACTGCGCATTCCAGGTGTTTTAGATGAGCAGCTAACAACATGCAGTTATTGTAACTCGGAAAATATACCAGATCTGATTCATGCCTTTACTAACAAGAAACTGCTGCAATAATCCAAAAAAGATGCAGGTATTCTCACTTGGGGGGATGGGAGTTAAGGGGGAAGGAGCTCCCAAGAAGTGCTCAGGAGGTGGGAAGGGCTATCATCCAGCAACTCTTGGCCAACTGGGTGGTGGCTCAGTGCAAGGGCCTGAGCATCACTGCAGTGCCAGGGATTACCTGGGCCCCCAAGCAGTGCTTGGGGGATCTTGTGGTGCCAGGAACAGAACCCAGATTGGACACATGCTAACTCTAACTAGCATCAGCCCCTGATATTTTAAAACACATTTTCGTTAACACTCAAATTCATTTGAAAACCATTTTTCAAAATTCATTTTGTAAGAAACAAAATTCATTTTTAAGAGACAAAAGGTATAAAATGTGTGTTCATGTTTTGCTTGGACAGATTTTAGCTCCTAGCAATTAATGCTTTCAGTCATATTAAGTATATACATAACATTTTTATGACATTACAGTACTTCCCATTACAGATCAATTTTGTATCACTTGTTCGTAATCAGACTTGAAATATTACCTAGAAACAAAATATGTTTCTCTTGTAACAGTCAGACCCTATTAGAAATCTAAGGCTTTATGAATCACCACACAAACAGTTATGTCCTCTGGCTAAGATTTTCTTTTCTTATATATTGTGTTAAATTCAGGCTTAGAATCACTAGTCTTTTTTGAGAGTTTTTTTTTTATGTGCATTGACTTGAAAAGAAAAACAGTGCTCAAAATAACATTTAGCATCTTTTTACATATAACTTCAGAAATTAACCACTATTTCCCCTTTTGGGAGAAAAATATTAGCACCTTTTTAAGTGTTAAGTTTATAATTAGGATTTTTTTTTTCTTTAAAGACATGTTTTCATTGCTTTTTTAAAAAAGGTGTCAGGCTGTTTCTAGTTAAGAGGAATTATTTCCATTTCTTGACCACATAATCTTTTACAATGAATGAACAAAGAAATAAATCAAACAGACTTAGGAGTAAAAGTTATAGTAAAGAGATTTATAAGCCAGGCACATACAGATATGAGTTCTTGCCCTACTATTTATCACCATCCAATCCAGGGCAAATCACCTGCAGGAAAAGCTAGCTATTTTTTAATGTTTTTTTTAAATTGATGATTTACAGATATATAATGTTCCAACACCAGTCCCACCACCAGCGTGACCGTCTCTCCACCAAAGTCCCCAGGTTCCATCAGTTCCCCAAGACAGCCTCATTGTTTTAAACACCCTGGTTTACAATACTGTTAAAGGTAGGGTTTCTTACTTTTTAAGAAAAAAAATTTTCACCCCAAGGAATATTCTCTTTGATTAAAGCCAACAACTTTATTGTATAAGTAACTTCTGAGTACTTACTGTATGATTAGTCTCTATTGATCTCGGTCCTAGAAAACATTAATTCAGACAGACTAGATTATTGCTCTTTTGGCTTTTATTCGGAGAGATAACTTGGACATAAGATAATGTCAAATGTTCCAATTAGTTGACTGGTGCCCCTTACCCCATTAAGAGATAGGTCTATCTCCTAATGCTTCAGTTTCTGCAGAGACAATTAAGGATGATGAGATTATCCTACATTGTCCAGGTGGGCCCTATGTCTGAAGATAAATATCCTACAAAGAGACACAGAGGAAAGAGAGGAGCAGGCCAGGGGAAAATAGAGCTAGACCTACAGAGGATGGAAGAATTCTCTTCTAGAACTTCAAAGGGACCATGGCCCTGCCAACACCTTGCTCTCATACACTGGCCTCTAGAACTAAGAGCAAGGTTTTGTTGTATGTTTAGAAATTTGTACTACTGTAAGTAGTAAAAAGAACTATAAGTATAAAATTATAAGTAATAATCTGTGCCAAGAAAAGAACACTGGGAATGAAGCAGGGTCTGAATGGGAGTTGCTTTAGGTAGCAGAATCTGGCAAACTCATTGAGGAGGTATCATTTGACATCAAAGATATAGGAGATGGGGCTTCTGAATCTGGGGGAACACCAGGTGCAAAGTACCCAATCTGGGAATGAACTTGGTGTTTGTCTAAGGAGCAGAAAGTCAGTGAGGCTGGCCAGGGAATGTGAGAGGGAGGGTTGGAAGAAAATGATGCCAGTGAGTTAGGAAGGGACTCAATGTTTTCAAGCTCCTGAAAGCAAATCTAGTTTTTTTTTTTCCCTTAATGAAACTTGGCTCTAAAAGTTCTTATAATGACAAATACCTGTAAACACACTGGCTAGCATAGTGAAGAAAGTGTGTATTAATTAAAGAAATATGGTCATTCTGGTAAATAAGGATCCCAAAGAGCAGAGCCTTTATAACCAACTCATGTAACCCACTGTGAAACCCATTTGAATGATGTCACAAGTAGTACAAATTAAAGTCAAAATCCACAAAACACAGTAGAAGGTTCTCATGGGCGAGGCAGGGGGGAGAGTCCTTTATTTCACTCACTTTTTACTTTCAATGTAGAATTCAATACATTTAAATTTGTTTCAGTCCATTCATCCAATGATGTGGAATATCACTTGGTCCTAATTCCTCAGGGTAAGTTGTCCCCGCACAGATCTCAGGGTGTGGGAGTTCCCAGGACTGGGATGTGATGAACTATTCAGCCAGTTTCCCTACAATTTGTTCCCTCATTTCTATCAATGATCACGAAGAAACAGACTGCATTTCTATTCACTTTTTCAGAATTCACACATACCTCTTATACATGTCAAGAAGAATTTCTCAAGTATAATCAAGTGTTTACCATTTTCAAATAGTTCATCATACCTCACATTCATCTTTTCCCTACTCTAAATTCCTTTCTTTTTCACATTATCTATCTTGACTGCTAATTGTTAAAAGTGGAGATTTTTTTGTTTTTAGCAGAAAATGTGCAAATGCACAGCACTTTTATATATCATGTATAGTAACAATTCAGAGTACAAAGTCGAAAAGGAAGAATCTGAAATATTAAAATTGTTCTGAAATAATCCTCTGTTTATGATACCACAACCTTTATGAAGGTTCCCTTGCCAACTAGTCAAGTGGCAAAGGTTAAAAAAATTTCACAAAATACATAGCACACATTTCAATATACTGCCCCCGTAATTTCTGAGTAACGGGGTTTTTATTTTTTAAACTTATTCTCCTTTAGTTTAAACTTAGTGGAAAGAGCTAAATGGTCATGACTTCAGCATTGCATCCTCATTTTGCTAAGATTTTCACAAGTTTCAAGAAAATTCACTGGAAGAATAGTGATGACTATTTTTTCCAGTAAATATTTAGTGGAAAACAGTTTAAACCCCAATCTGAGGTTATACACTTGCTTGGGGGAGACCCAATGCTGTAAAGGAGACAAGTGCAGCAACCAACTATGACAATGGAAGAAAACTCCATGATAGTTAACTGTGTCATGGAGGTGTACATCAAAGTTCATCATGATTTTTTGTGAGATCTTCCCCATAATTGGTAGCTTGGCTTCCCACAAACATGTTCCAGTTATCCAATATCTCCTCTTTGGTTAGTTTTTCATCCTGTAGTAGGGGAAGAAAAAGAGTATGGTGTTAGAAGCTCTGTAAGCATGATGTTCATTGTTAGAGCGAAACTGATGCCATGACAAGCTGCAGCTAACATTAAGTCTCAGCTAGGCCTCAGTTTCTGTTTCCCCGGAGCAGGACTTGCAGTTTCTGGTAAATTCCCAGTTGAGTAATTTGCCAAAATAAGGAATTGGGCAGCTGGGTCTGACCGCTCATGAGAGGTCACTGTACCCTCCTTAGAAATTGTTACTAACCATTGCCTAATTGCTGACCACCATTTTAACAGGGCCAATGTTAAAAATAGACCAGCATATAAATTGCTTCTTAATTCTGAACCCTATATAAACAGCTTGTGATGTGGAGTCGGAGTCCTTGTCAAGACTCTACTGTGGTGGAAAGACTTGGACCTTAGCTCGAGCTAGTACTGGCTTGGGTTAGAATAAAGTTCCTTTGCTTTTGCATTATTGTGTGTGGGCCTGGTCTCTCCGCAATTGGGGATCTGAAACTCGGGCACAACACATGAATTTGCAACCTGGAGAGGGGGGGTTGAGGGGCTGGTATGATGCATTCAGCAGTATTCAATGGCCACACCTGGCACTGTGAGGTGTTACGCCTGGTGGTGCTGGTACCGGGATTCAAACCAGGGTCGCAGCTGCAGCTGCATGCTAGACAACTGCCTTAACCTTTATGGCTTCTCTCCAGTTTCAATATGCAATATTTAAAATCCTACGTTTAAATAATTAAACTGCTGTGAGATGCCTCCGTCACCTACTGTTACTATACTGCAAAAACCCAAAAGAGCAACAGACTCGGGTCGTAAAAGCCAGGCTCAAATCTAGAAGGTTAAGTCCTGGAGGACTTCAGAAGCAAGCAGCAGGGACAGTGGCAAAGCAGGCCCCACGGGGTTCCACTGCCCTTTATAGGACCTGACTGCCAAGCTCCACTGTCTCATGAGATTCTGGAGCAGTGACCAAAGAGGAAAGAGAAAGGCCTTCTTTCTAAATCTTGGTTATTTGTTTAGTTGGCAGTTTATCAATGGACACCAAAGTGCTGGGCACCTGAGCCTGCCCTGTGACCTGGTCGAGGATGCCCAGGTTCTGAGAGGTTAGGCTTGTTGCCACCTTCCCTGTCTAGGGTATGTGACAAATATTTGCTAACTGCTAGAGCGGAACAACACACATGTCTTAGGGTAATGTCAGATTTACCTCTTAGATCCATCCACACACCGTCCATAAGTTAGCGGTTCTACAATCCTAGGAGGTGATGGTGGAAGTGTGGGGCCATCGTACACACTCCAGGAATGTCTGGACCTAGTGAGCTCACCGTAGCTTCTCAGAAGTGGTTCAGGCTGACAGATTTTTGTTTTGGGCTGCTGCATCTGGCAGTACTCAGGGCTTACTCCTGGCTCTGCACTCAGGGATCACTCCTTGGTGCTTGGGGGAACCATACGTGGTGGTGGGGAAAAACTCAGGTTTACCACATGCAAGACAAGTGCCTTAACCTCTGCACTATCTCTTCAGGACAGATTTTTAGCATAAGGCAAGATTGAGAAAAGTCAATAAGACCGGGGAACGCATGGGTCAGTGCTATCACCAAGGAGGCAAACAATAGTAATCTTATGTAAACTGCGTCCTTTCACTGAACCATTCCAGAAGAATGTCAAATACCTTGTCTTTGTCAGATTCGTACACCAGGTGCCTGGCCTCGGCCTGCGCATGGTCATAGTCCTGAGGGAGGATCCAGTGGCGAATCTCCTCCTTGTCCAACTTCCCATCCTTGTTCAGATCTCGAAATTCATTAAACTGTTCCCGTTCCGACAACACCCAGTCTGGCTCTGGGCCATTCTCCTCGTGGGAAAACATATCCGCTGGAAGGGAAGATTGTTCTCGGTTATGAAAACAAGTGGGAGAGCAACGAACACCTGACCTCCTGAGTTTCTGCAAGGGAGACGACCAACCTGCAGATCTCCCTACAGAGGGGGCCAGTTTCTTGGGGACAATAATAATAAAGAAAAAACTAAACAGCGGCACCAGACAACGAATTCTGATCCTTAACTTGGCTCAGTAGCTGAGACATAAGTTTAGTCCTCTGTAAAATGAAGGTGATCTAGAAACCACTAGACTAGTAGGAAGCTCCAACAGGCCGCTCCCTGGGAAAGCCCTCTACAACCCAAACTGGCTCTTAAGAACAAACAAACAAACAAACAAAACAATATCAAACATTTTCTCTGTGTTCCAGATAAGGCATTAAAGGCTTCTCATCCATTTTGCCATTTGACTTTCCTAACAGGCCTAGGCAGGAGGTGTTATTACTCCCGTTTTATAGATGGAAACCCAGCCTTTATCCAAGGAGCCACAGGCTGGACAAGCCTGAGGCTACATGAGAACAGTCAACCCATGGTCTTAACCACTTTGTGCGTTACTCAGTTCTGAAGAGCTTTCACTTACAGTGTCTAATTTCATCTTTGGACCAGTTCTATGAGGTAGATCATTATCCTCCTTTTACAAAATGTCAGGAAAGCTTATGTGCTATTTGCAAAGTCACTAGATCTTGGAAAAGAGAGGCACCCTCTTAGGTAGTTTCTTTTCAGTTGAAGCACAATTAGGAAAAGGTAGCAGCGAGAGGGCCAGTGATGGAACTAGATGGTTAAGTGCATGCCTCGCCTGCAAGAGACCTGATTCTATCTCTAGCACCATAACATTTAAAAAGAAAAGGCTTTAAGCTGTTATTTATATGGATAATAACAGCTCTTCTGAGTAAAATCTCCAAATGTCAAAAATAAATGGAAGAAAAAAATGTTTAAGCTGTTAAAAAAAGGGGGGGGTGTACATAGCAAGAGCAGGCAGTGAAGAGAGGTTCGAGCCTTGCTCCCTCTACAAAGACCACACATGACATCTGCAGATTGGTTTTGATTATTTGAGGGGGGATGTTAGGGAGGTGTAGTTGGATCACACCTAGTGGTGTTCAGGAGACCATGCTGTCCTGGAGTTCAAACCCAAGGTCTTCAATGCAAAGCATGCGCCCCGCCCTGCTGAGCTATCTCCCCAGCTCTACTCATTGTTCTGAGCTCAGGCTACCACAGCAGTTAACTAACTGGAGCTTCTTTCAATCCTGTAGGCATGGGTTCTATTTCTTTCCACTTGACAGAGAAGGAAACGGAGGTTAGCAGTGATTACAAGGCTCCCTGGGGTTCCAAAGCAGGCAAGTGGAGGTGCCAGAACCCCTCATCAAGTGCTCTTCCCTATCAACTACATAATTGCCAGCTTCCCCTCCAACCCTTTCAGTAGAGAAGCCACCCTCCCCTCACCACCCGCCACCCCCTCCCTATAAGCAAAAAGCAGTAACTGGCACCAAGCCCATCAGGTCTGCCAGAGAGTGACTCAAAGTCACTTTGCCTCTCCTCTGCCCAGTGGAAGAATGGAATATGCTGCTTTCAGACAAAGGCTCTCCGGGCTTTGTCCCTGACTTTGCACACTTTCAAGGCAGAGCCCGGATGGCTGGGCAGGGCAGGGTAGAGCTGCACACGTGCATTGAAAGCACAAGCCTGTTGTATTCAGCCTTTCCTGTCACCACCATTAACATCTGCAGCACAGAAAAGGGCTCTGCTGCTGCTACTTAGGCAGGGGACCAGGGGATTATCAGCATTTCCCTTTTTACAAAAGTGGTGCCACCAGATTGTGCCGGTGATTGGCAAGTGCTTCTTGTTAGTCCTCACACACAGCGGCAGTAACAGTTTCCGGCTTCTAGGGGTGGGTGGTAAGAGAGAGGGTGAGAGAGAGAGAGACAGACAAGACAGGCAGATGGACACACAGACACACAGATAGACACACACACACACACACACACACACACACACACACACACACACAGAGAAAGAAAGCGTACCTCGCATTGCTTGCTCAGGCCTTACTTTTGGCTCTGTACTCAGGGATTACTGCTGGGGAGGGGAAGAGGACTATCTGAGAAGCTGGGGATTGAACCTTGGTCGGGCTTGCTCACGGCAAGTGCCTAAACTTTAAAGGCTGAGGGTACTCATTCTCTGACTGGGGTGGCTGCTAGTGATACAGATACAGAGACTGGTGACTGCTTGGAGGCTGGTCTTCCACTAGAAGGGAACGAATAGTCTCTACCAACACACTGAGCAGGTAGGCATCACCAGCTCGAGCTCACACTTAAATTTGGCTTAGTTAACGCCAACTGCAGCGCTAGCATGAGTGTGTTAAAGAGGGCTACAGGGCTTCAGAGCCCTTCCCTCCGGCTCTGCATGGGTTTTCCAGTTTTCTTTCAAAATCTGCAGAGAAGAGCCATTCTGAGAAAGCAGCTTGCAGGGTGTGCCACATGCTAAAACTCTGCGGCTCTACCGGACAGTCCCTACTGCCTGCTTTGTCCTTTGGGCTGGGAGAGTGGCCAGCAGGAGTCCCTCAAGGTGAGTTCTGCCCCTGGGGACCTGCATTCTGTATCTCATCCAGCTAGTTCCCTGTTTCTGGAAACATACTTCATGGTGCTGTGTACTTGGGGGACTTCGGGAATAAAGTCCTAGCTATAGGAATCCTAAGGAGAAAATCCAAAGGCAGGGGAGCGACTGAGTTGCTGGTGTTGGGGGCTATTGGGTGCCCCATGAAAGGTTGTTTTGCTCAGGCAAGGATCATGGCTGTGTCTATCTGGAGCCTCTGGTCACAGGGGACCCGCAGTCAAGAAGAGTTCAGTCTTTCCCCAGCTGATGCGACACTTATCTCATACTTATGGATGGTCTCACCCATTCCTCCTGAGGCCCTATGAATAGACTGGTATGGCAAGTCCCTGCCCCCTGGAAGGTCATAGGAGAGACCCCTGCTGACTTCAGCAGTCACAAGAGGGACGTCTGGGCAAGAAAGGAGCCAGGCACAGTGGCCCATTCCCAACAGCGCAATGAGCGACTGGGTCGCACTCACCCACATACTCGTCCTGATCCACAAACCCATCCCCGTTCTTGTCAATATCCTCCAGCGTTTCCTGGGGAGCAAAAGGGAAAGAAGAATGAACTCCTGGTGCAGTGCTTGCAGAACTCGTGGGTGCCCCCCACCGTCCTCTCTGTTCGGCACTTAGAACCCAGCACTCCGGGACTTCAGGCTCCTCTCCTCACCTCCCTGGGTAGGAGTCACTGATCAAAACCAGGCAGAAAACTGATCAAAAACGGGCGGTGATTTCTGCCCCTCCTCTCCACCCACAGTGATCAGAGACAAACAATTGTCCTTAAATGGAAAGGGCTGACTGAGCCATAAACAACAATGTGGTGTCAGACAAATGAAATTAGAATTTAGTTCACTCATTTATATTTTGGTGTTGGGGTCAGGCCCCGCAGTGCTCAGGACTTAATCCTGTGTCTGCTCTCGGGGGTCACTCCTGGTGGTGCTCGGGGACTCTATGGGGTGCTGGGAGCGAACCCAAGCCAGCTGTATTCAAGGCAAGTGCTTTACTCACTGTACTATCTCTCCAGTTTCAGGTGTGTGTGTGTGTATGTGTGTGTGTGTGTGTGTGCATGCGTGTGCATGCAAGTGTTTTTAGTGGGGCTGCTTCCAAAAAGTGCTCAAGAGGCCAAGGACCCTACTGGTGACACTCAATCTACTAGACTAGTAGTTCAGCCCAGGATGCAATGCTACTTGTTCCCTGCAGCTCTGGAGATACCGAGGCCACCTCAGGAGCCTCCAGGGCCACACTTGGAAGTACTCAGGGCACCTAGTGATGCGCAGAGAACCATGTGATGTTGGCAATCAAACCTGAGTCTGGCGAAGAAGTGAGACACATGCCTGAACCGCTGTACTATCTCCCAAGACCTAAACTCAGATTCAGTCTTACCAAAACCACAATTTCCTTCATGTGCTCAAACTCTTCGGGGTGCAGAAAGGAAGTGAACTCCTCCCGAGTGGCGGTCTGGTCCCCGTTGAGGTCCGCAGCCTTGAACCTTCTTTCATCTCGAGGCAGCATCTTTTTAAAGGTGTTATGGTCAGAACTATCTTGAAATTCCTCGGGGTTTCCTTTGGGACAAAATCATGGAAGCAGGGCTGCTGTGAGAGGTGCATTTCCTTCCAGACCCCTCAGCCCACACCCAAGGTCCTGTCTGTGTCCTTCCCAAACACTTTATTTCTGAAAGCCCCTGAAAGCTACCATGAAGGGTGCTTGTCCCTTCATGCCCCCCACCCCGCGAAGCCAAGTTCCCGGAGACATTACTGCGCCCACTCGAGCAAATCGATGATCAACGGGAGGGCCTTACTTACTATTAAAGCATAATGACAAGTAGCAAAGGGCACAGGCTTTAGCTGTGCCAAACCCATACTTCTGTTTGTACAACTCTGCCTCTGTCATTCTTGATCTTGAACACACAGAGGGTCCCCAGTAGCCCCCAGTATGTTGTCTCAAAGCTTCTGCCTGGCTTTCAAGATATCTCTTGCTCTGGCCTTGCCGGAGCACATCTCTGGCCTGTCCCCATGCAGTGTCTAAACTTATAACTATGAAGCTGCATCCTGTGCTTTGAACACACCCCTCCCTCATTCCTTTCAAACAGCTGACTCTACCCAAACCCTCCCCATTGTTGAATGCACTGCTTCCCCTCTGGACCTCCAAATGATCCCGCTTCCCTATAGTCTCTCCTTCTCCAAATATAAAGTTATTGTTCCCTCCCTGCTCCCAAACCGCCTCTCATCAGGAAGTCATCACTGTGTGCTCCAGCCCACGTGCTCCTGCTTCAGGAAACCACATCACAAATACATCCACTCTCTGCTGCATTCTCTGTGTGGGCATCTAAGATCACAGACTCGGGGAGAGCAGCAATCTAAGCCATTTCTTTTCTTTCTTTTTTGACTTTTTGGCTCACACTCGGGGATTACTCCCAGCTTTCTGCTTATGGATCACTCCCGGCAGTACTTCGGGGTCCATCTGCATGCAGTACTGGGGATCAAACCAGGGTTGGATGCTTGTAAGGCAAGTGCCTCAACCCCGGTACTATCTGTCCCAACTAAGTCACTTGCATTTTATTTTGGGGCCACACTGGCAATGTTCAAGGGTTACTCCTGACTTTGCACTCAGGAATACTCCTAGAGGTGTTTTAGGACCATGTGAGACGCCAGGGTTGGCCATGTGCAGGGCAAACATCCTACCCATTCTACTATCACTCTGCCCCTCTCCCTTGCCCCCAACTAAGTCACTTTTTAAATAGATCTTTGGCCTCTTCCAACTCACCACCCAGGGCTTCCCTTAGAGTAAGCGCCCCTGGGACTTTCTTGGAAAGCAGGGAGGATATTACACAAGTGAGATGTGGCTGGAGGCTGTGATGGTGGCTCCCCAAAGGGTGGATCTGAGCAAGCTGAAGGGTGTCTCATTACACAGGCTCCATTTACCTAGGTAGTAACCGTACGTGGCTTGTTTGTATTCTTCCCAGGAAATTTTATCATCTTTGTCCCGGTCATAATCCTTCCAGACTTTAGCAACATTATCATAAATGTATCTTTTCTGCACCCTTTTGATCCAAGTTTTTAGCTCTTCAGTGGTGACAAAGCCATCTCCATCGCTGTCAATTCGGTCAACAATCTTCCTGTAGTCAAGAGGAAAAAAATAAATCCAAGAAACAACCACCATGTGGTTATCCAGACTTGTGTGACCCCAGAACAGATCAAATCTCTGTAGGTGCAAAAATTCATAAACATTAAAACAGAACTAATGATCCCAGGATGCTACGGAGGATCTTATGGAATTTCTCTTTCATGAGGACGACATGGCATCTCTCCCCGGTGTCCATGGCACACATGGGTATGATGCCTGATTGAAGCTGATCTGTGAGGTAAAACCCAGCGGTCTTCTGGATGTAGGCGCTCTCGTTTTAAAGTAATGGGCACTGAGGATAGAGAAAACTGGGTGACTTTTCCAATAAGACACACAACCGCGATAAGAATCCATGTTTTCTGGCTGTCAGACTAATGGGGGTAGGAGAGGGGAGGACATGTAAACTGCATGTAAATCAAAGGGGGTGGTTGGAGAGGGAACCTGGGAATGCTGTGGGGATTGTTAAAACACTGTCAAAAACTCAACTATGAAAAACTTTGTAATTCAGTGTTTTAATAAAATAAAATTTTGGAAAAAAAGAAAAGCTTTAAATCTCAAGTCTTGCAGTTTGGACGTCAAGACTTGAAATCTAAAACAAGGGAAAGTCAGACAAATTTTGATAGACAAAGCATAAAATATTGGGGCGCAAGAGCCTTCGCTTTCTGGAAGCCAGCGAAGGAGCCCAAGTTGCGAAGGTGCTACAGGGACCTTACCCTGCTCTACCCCTTGGGCCACTGAAGTCTCCTTGGCTGGCCAGTTCCAGCAATTTTCCATTTGTATCCCTAGAAGAACTTCAACCCCAGTCCAGAGCACCTTCAGAATAGGAACTCATTCTAGGACAGAGTCCCAAGCTTGGAACAATATCCCTGGGGGGGAACTTCAAAGATTTCCAGCATTGAAATGGTTTTACCCTAACAATCCTTTTACCTCTACTGAGGTCATACAGGCTAATTAGGGATTTGTTTTTTTACCTCTGGCTGGCTGCCATCAACTCAAAAGTAAAACTCTTACTCTAAACGAAAGCTCTGACAGTTTTTCTGTGATTTGAAATTAATTTGGTGGTACCTAAGTTTCAATCTCCTACCTGCTGGCCTCTTTCTCTTGAAGGCATAAATTTGCTAACAAAACTTCCTTTTATTTTTAAATTGTACTTTAGTCATAGGGCTGGAGCGATAGCACAGCGGGTAGGGCGTTTGCCTTGCAAGCAGCCAACATGGCCGACCCGAGTTCGATTCCTCCGCCCCTCTCGGAGAGCCCAGCAAGCTACAGAGAGTATCTCGCCCACACGGCAGAGCCGGGCAAGCTCCCCGTGACGTATTCGATATGACAGACACAGTAACAACAAGTCTCACGATGGAGACGTTACTGGACCCGCTCGAGCAAATCGATGAACAACGGGAGGACAGTGACACAGTGACACTTTAATCATAGGGCTGGAGCGATATAGCACAGCGGGTAGGGCGTTTGCCTTGCAAGCGGCCAAAATGGCCAACCCGAGTTCGATTCCTTCACCCCTTCAGAGAGCCCGCAAGCTCCAAGAGTATCTTGCCCGCACAGCAAAGCCTGGCAAGCTACCCGTGACGTATTCGATATGCCAAACACAGTAACAACAAAGTCTCATGATGGAGACATTACTGGGCCTGCTCAAGCAAATCGATGATGAACTTTAGTCACAGTGATTTAAAATACTATCAATTATAGGGTTTTAAGCATAGATCATTCTAATATCACACCGTCCACCAGTGTCCTCTCTCTACCAGCATCTCACAGTCTCCCACCCCATCCCTAGCCCCCCCACCCCACACACACACACTTCACCACCACCAACACCATGGTGAGCTCAGTTCTATGGATCAGTTCACAAATTCTGTCGGTTTGGGCATTTTATTACTCCTTTACTATGCTTCTGTATACAGGTGGTCTGATAGCCTTAATCCCTAGTCTTTTCATTTGCAGTTTTAATAGGTCTCAAGACTCAGACCAGGGGGCTGGAATTCTAATACAATGGGTAGGGCTGTATTTGCCTTGCATTTGGATGACCCAGGTTCAATCCCCAGCATCCCATATAGTCCCCCAAACACCGCCACAAGTAATTCCTAAGTGCAGAGCCAGGAGTAACTCCTGAATACCACCGAGTGTCAGACCAAACCTCTGGCCTCTTCAGGCTGGAAATCACAGCAGACACAGAGAAATTTTTTCCACAATGTGCCAAGTTCGGCTGATCTATGGGCCAGTCATTCTCTATGCCCAAGGACACAGCAGTGACACGTGCCGGTGTGATCCAGGTCAGTGTGAAGAATGGACAGTGAGCAGCAGAGCACTCAACTGATGCCAAATAAACATACACAGAATCCAATGTGACACGCAGTGGGGCTTAAGGAGTAATCAGTGGGAGAATAAGATGTAAAAACTCTCTAAAGGGGCCAAAGTGATAGTACAGCGGGTAGGGTGTTTGCCTTGCATGCAGCTGACCTGGGTTGGATCCCCAGCATCCCATATGGGTCTCCCAAGCATCGCCAGGAGTAATTCCTGAGTGCAGAGCCAGGAGTAACTCCTGAGCATTACTGGGTGTAACCCCCCCCCCAAAAAAAAAAAACTCTCTAAAAAACACTCAGGGGTGAGGTGCTCCAAGGAAGAACTCTCCTCAGCACGCTGGAACCTGGTCCTAGGCCTTCCAGGCAAGTGTCTTGCCTTTGAGTGTAAAATGGAACTTTCTGAGGACTGATGTGTAGAATAGAGGCAGGAATGAGTTACCAAGAGCTTGGCTGGGTGGAGAACTCAACACCTCACAGGTACCAAAACGCAAAGCCTCTGTTCAGAGCCTGGGTCACCCTAGACGGCTCCTGCCAGCTGCCAGCAAGACTGCTCACTCCATTGCCAACAATGATCACTCCACAGGTGTCACAGGCCATGGGCCCAGGAGGTCAAGAAATCAGATCTGTAAGTCAAATCACTCTGGTTTCTTTCTGTATCAAATCACTCTGATTCCTTTCCAGGGCTGGGATGGAGGCAAGGTCTCCCAAGCTCTGTCCACCTGTGACACCTGGCTATCCGGAGCTAGTGGTTCAATGCAAGGGCTGGAGGATGCAAAGCTGCCCGGGCTCTGGCCTTCAGGGCCACTCCTGCCAGTGCTTAGGAGGACCATGTGGTGGCAGGAATTGAACCCGGCCGGTTACCTGTTGCCTATACTAGCTCCCAGCCCTGAAATCACTCCAATTTTAAATGTCAGCAAATGTTTTCATTTTTTTTTTTTCTCAATACTGCGGCTGCCTTGGGACTGCTCAGTGAGCAGGCCCCTGCTTTGCAGAGAGGTGAGGGCTTTAGCTCTGCTTTCAGATTCTGCAGTCATCGTTATCTAGATTGATCCATTCTCCTTCCTCTATAGCCCAGACAAGGAGAGGGCACTGCCACACCCATAGCTGTGTAGGACACCGAGATGGCACTTCACCCCAAGTCTGAGCCCAGCTGGACCCCAACTAGGCAGCCCTTCACCCTCTTGGCTCTAGGCTGGACTTATCAGTGAGTCTGCTGCCCATCTCCCCTGGGGTTCAGGGCAGAGACCCTGTTGATGCCCCTAAGCCCTCACCCCAATCTGGCTCTCCTGACATTGAGTCAGGAGCCAGCACTGTCAGCATGCACGGGGCCAGATCCCACCGGGCCCACTCCCCACGCCACCCAGCCCTGCTCTCCCATTCTGTACTATGTGTGCTTTCCTACCCAGCCCACACAGGAGAACATCAGGAGAACATCTGCTCAATGTCCAGGAGGCTCTTCCTGCTCTGCCCCCAGTTGCTTCTGGAGTTCCTCCTCCTGCTTCCCAGCACTGGCCAACAAACACCCCTTTACCAACCCCAATCCCCCTGCATGGCCCTTTTGAACAGGCTTCAAAAGTTCTCTTAGCAGGTGGCTCTCTCTTCAGAAGTATCCCCCTCCCTGTGGGCGTACACAGCTGCCTAGGGCTGTATCATCTCACAAGGTGTGGTCAGTGGCCACCACAGCTCCCAGGTTCCTCCAAGTTCAATCCCGGGAATTCTTGGTCATTGCACTGCACCTACTACGACGTGCCACCATCCTGGCAAGTCAGAAAGTGCCTGCTGTCTCTCCGATTTCTTGTTCTGGCCAGAAACAAAGGGCCTGGAGGGACAGACGCAGCAGTCGTTCAGAAATCTGCTGTGAGACTAAATGAAGTAATAGTTGACATGTGATAAAAATGCACACCAACACCACCGGCATTTGCTCACCACCAGGCCTCCTGTCTGTGGCATGCGGTAAACTAGAATTCAGTTTCCTCCTCTAAACCTTCAGTCCCCTCATTCCCCTGGCCAAGCTGCAAATGGCTGCCACTTGGGGCCCCAGAAGAAATCTAGTCTCCAAACAATGCAACAGAGGGAACGCATCAATGGCCTCCATTGTTAAACGCTAACCAAGAAGAGAAAGCACCTCTTGCAAAAATAGAAGGTGATTGTTTGGGGGTGACTTTGAAGTTCAAAAGATCCTTTTATCAGGGCAGTGCACAGAGCACCTACACAATAGCTATAATTTACCCACAGTCTAACCAGCCACATCGGCCTTTGGGCTCTCAGGGATGTTCCTCACAGAGTCACAGGGCATGGAGGCCCCCCTCCCACTTCACATCTCCAGCCAGGTTCCAGGAGGCCTGGTGCCAGTAGGAGGGCTCTTGGGATCCGCCCTAAGCTGGCCTCCACCTGGGGCCAGGCTGGCTGCTGCCCAGTGGAAGGGCATCCACATATTTCTGCCCTAATGTCTCCCCCAGAGGGGGCGGGGAGAGGGCACCAAGGAGGTCTCGAGTTTTATTTCCCAGGCTTGGTTCCTGGTTCAGGTGCCTTCCACAGGGAAATGCACAAGCTGCCACCACATTACCCACCCATGGGTGCCTGTGCTGATAACAGCGGGAAGCAGGACCCAGGAACCTGTTTCCCTTCTCACCCAGCACCCCCATTCCTTCTTAGCTAGTTTTCTCTCTAAGGGAGAATGATGGGGTGCTAACCCGGGAAGAGGAGAAAAGAACACCCAGCTCCCAGCCCGGGACAGAGGCCGGCGGCCTCTCCTTCCCCCACCGCTCCTCCTCGAGGTCTAGTTATTCTGGAAGGAGGGCAAGAACTCCCCGGGAGAGCACTAAAATTGGCCTCGGTGGGCAAACTCTTCTTTGGCACGGCACCCTCCCTTCTGATGTAACCAAGCGAGGGGCGGGCTCGCCCGTCCGGGCCGCCGCGCCCGCTGCCACGTTCACGCCTCCTGCCAGGAAGCCTCCCGGGGGACCCGAGGCGCCACGGCCTGCTCCCCCGGAAGGGGGGGTGGGGGTCGGGGCGCCTGCGGCCACCGCGAGGCCCCCACCTCACCGCGCCCCGCGCACCCCCGGCCCGGGCCTCCGCGCACGCCGGATTTTGCGTGGCCGCCACCCCCCCCCCCCCAACACACACACCCGCCCCGCGTGGCTTCCGCCCGGCGCGGGAGCGCGTTCCCGTCCCCCCCACACCAACCCTCCCGGGCACCTGCGGCGCTGGCCCCGGGCTCACCCCAGCCTGTCCTTGCTCTCCTCCGAGGTGAGCTGGTCGAAGGTCTTGGAGTCCTCCTTGCCCAGGAAGGCCTCGTGGTCGTACTGGAAGCTCTGGTTGTCCTCCGGCGGCCGCTCGCCCAGCTCCGAGTCGGGCCGCACCACGCGCTCCTTGCGCACCGTGGGCTTGGCCCGCAGCGCGCCCGGCGCCAGCGCCAGCAGCAGCCCCAGGGCGAGCGCCAGGCAGCGGCGGCCGCGGGCCATGCTGCGGGGAGAGCGGGGCGCGCGGGGACGCGGGAGCGGGCGGCGGCAGGCGGGGACGCGGCGCGGGGGGCGCGGGGGAGGGGACGGGCGCGCCCGGGGCGGCGGGCAGGGAGGCTGCGGGCGGCCCGGCTCCCGCGCCCGATTGGCCACCGGGCAATGGGGACGGGAGGGTGGGCTGGGGGGCGCGGCCGGCCCCGCCGAGCCACGTCGGCGGCCCCGGCTAGTGGGCGCGGGCCTCGGGTTTCCCCGGGGCCCCTCCCCGCCGCTTCGTCGCGAGGGGCGGGCCCAGGCGGCCCGGGCCGGGGACGGCAGTGCTAGAAGTTCTTTGTCAAGCAACAGATGTTCGAGACGAAATTCCCTTCCTGGGCTTCCAGATCCCGCAGAAAGCGAAAGGAGGGACGCGGCGGGGGATTGCGGAGGGGACCGTGCCCCTCCTCAACTTCCAGCTGGGCGTCCACGTCCCCGCCACGCACCCCGCTCCAGGATGCCGCCCTAAATCGAGCTCAGCACCCCTGCATGCCCAAACTCCTCCGGAGTCCGGCTCCACACAAAAGAAGTGGGAAGAAAACCCAGGGCACCGTGGATTCCCCTTGAAACGAGGGCTGCCGCCATCCGTGTCGGGGAGGGGGCCCATGCTGAGTCCTGGGGCCTATGAGAAGGGAGATGCCAGCTGGCATGCAGGTTCCGAGTTGGCAGGAAGACCCTTTTCCCACAGCAAATTGGGGTTTCGTGTGTGTGTGTGTGTGTGTGTGTGTGTGTGTGTGTGTGTGTGTATGTTTTAACGATGAGGACTCATTCTATAAAAAGCACCACATGTCACAAATCAAGGACTGTGTCTTGAATTTGGGGTCACGTTGCCAAAAGGAATTTCGCTGCTGAACTTCCTACAGTGATGGACAGACCCCCTCATCTGTCCCACAGGTGTGCTTTGGGGCATTAGTGTAAGTGCCGCATTGGAAATTTCAAATTTAAGCATAAATTTCAGTGCATGACAAGTAGCTAACATATTGAACAGTGTAGGGCCAGAGGGATGATTCGTTTTGCTTTTGTGTATTAAGGAGCACCCAGACCCAGGTGAACCTTCTCTAGAAAAGTGCAGTTACTGACATGGATGTTTGATGCAAGAGTCAAAACGTTTGTGCATTTCCAGAAGCCCCATGGATGAGTCCCAGGTTAAGAATCCCTGGGAAACTTAGACTTTTATTAAGGAGAACAATCCAACAGCCTAACATCCACCCAGCGCTTTCCAGACATCTCTAATAGTCTAGAAGATATTGCTGGCCTATGCCTGTTGCTCTTGCAATAGGACATTTCCACAGGAGGATAGAAGCAAGAAGATGCCTTTCGGCAAATTGATAAGTGATTGTTGTGTGCCCACCCATGCCCAGGGGTGGGACTGGTTGCTGAAGGGAAACAGAAAAGACTGTCAGTCTCTTTAGAACTGTGGGTTTTGGGAACAGATATTCTTGCATCCATTCACTCCTTCATTCAATAAACTGAGTACCTGCTAAACCTCAGCACTGTGATGGGTACTTGTTTACAAGACATGATTTCAAAGCAGTACCAGAGATCAGGGCACTCAATATTATGGAAGTGCATTAGAAGACCAGAAATCAGCTTGGGGGCTTAACCTGGAAGACCTCCAACAAAAATAACAAGTTACTGGTGGTGGGATTGATGTTGGACTATTGTATGTCTAATACTCATCTATCAAGAACTTTGAAAACCAAGCTCTTTAATTAAATGCAAATAAAATTAAAAAGAAAAATCTTAAGTGCAATGGGAGGTGAGTAGAATAAGCCAAACTGAGAAGAAGGAAGGATCCTTGTGTATGGGGGCAGAAAGCAGTGGAGGTTGGGATGACAATCCCTGTGACCCCTCCACTGTTAGCAGTGAGTTCTAAGCTCACAATTCCTGACCCAGCTGAGTCAACTTTTCATGGCTCAGAGAGTATGTGAGAGAGAACAGTGCCACAGTATGGTCCAGAGGCTTGAATGTCTATACAGAATAGCACGACTTTGGGCTAGTCAGAGCTCCCTGCTAAAATGCAAGAGCTCTGAGTTAGGTACCTTCCATGCACATCAGGCAGAGACTTGAATTATTTATTGCAGTTGGGAGGAGACATGGGAAACAAGGCAAAGGGAAATACAGCAAAGCTAGGATTAGGAGAGAGATTTAGAAGTCAACAGGAAGGTGGGTGAGGTTGGGAAACTTGCTTATATTCAGTTTGGCCCCTGGGATTGATTCAGTCCCTCTAGAACAAGAAGGGCACATTCTACTTGGCTGCCTGCCAGACTAGTGGTTTCCCACAGGTTGTTGCAAAGGTAGTATTGCCTCCTGTGGGAAATACCAGAGAATTCATGGACTGCCATGTAAGCATTTATAACATTTCCTCTAGCCTTGCCTACATTCTCATCCTTTATGTTTTCTTTTCTCCACCAACCCCTGAGAGTTAAACAAATCCTCTCAATCAGAAAGTTCAGAATGATGATGATATAAAAGAATCAGATACTTCATTGTGCAATTGCTCTCTTTTCATCTCAAAAATGCTTTTTCTTCCTCTCCTTGTGGGCTTGTGCAGCTAAGTACATTGTCATCTCAGGTTAATCACTATTTAACACAAAATATCCATTCTTAATGAGGCAAGTGGCAGGTTGGACCAGTGAGAAGGAAAAGCAGGTTAGGGGAATGGGTTCCTCAGGCTCTGCTGATTTTGCAGCTCTGGGCTGTAGGTCATGGCAACAAGAACAAAAATCCAGCAGAAGTTACTAAAACTATAAGAAAACTTGTAACAAAGGATGCCAAATTTGATCAGCTTCAGACTGGTTAATTTAAATGACTTGATGACATCATTCAAAAAATACTGTTTTCTGTTTGTTTTTTCTCCCCTTCAGAAACTCTTGGAGAAAAGAGTGTTTCCTCCCTTTGTCAAGAAGAAAATTCTCCCAACCCACTTCCCTTCACCTCTCATTTCCTAGAATTTTATCACATGTCTTCTCAGGTCCAATGATAGGTCAAGAAATCATAATGTGGAGGCCAATCAAGGTTCACTGTCTCGGGCTGTAAAGTACCCAACTTACATTGAAAATCTTATTTCCAGTTCTGTTGGCAAGGAAGAACAAACCGGATGGTTGTATAGTAAGGAGATTTGTATCTGTCAGGTTGTATATTTTGGTTTATTGCTGTGTACCCAGCACATAGCACAGTGTATACTTGTTCTTGAAAAAAAAAATAGCACTGTCCTGTCCAGCAGAAAGCACTGTTCTCAGTCTAAAGCTCTAAGGAGAACAAAGGCATCTCCTCCTAATAAGGAACTAAAACTTAGCTTTCTGGGCTGCAGAAAAGGTGCTCAACCATTTTCCATTTCAACTGAAGACATGTTACTTCTTTAGAGGGAGGGCCAATATAAATTCACCTGATGATATAATCTCATGGGCTGATATTTTAGAGTGGGCTAGGAGTAGGAGGATGTAGATGTAAGGGATATTACTAGAATAGCTGACAAAATTCGAACTTAATTCACATAATAGCATTGTATCAATATGAGGTTTCCAAATTTTGATAATTGTATTCTGGTTATGTAAAAAAATCCTTGTTTTTAAGAAACCCTGTAGCACTGCACTGTCTTCCCATTGTTCATCGATTTTGCTCGAGCAGGCCCAGTAACATCTCCATTGTGAGACTTCTTGTTACTGTGTTTGGCATATCGAATAAATCACGGGTAGCTTTGCTGTATGGGTGAGATACTCTCGGTAGCTTGCCGGGCTCTCCGAAAGGGACGGAAGAATCAAACCTGGGTCAGCCAGGCCGGCAGCATGCAAGGTAAATGATCTATGGCTGTGCTAAAGAAATTAATTGGATAATAGTGGTGTAGGGAGGCAGGTAGGGAAGGCCCACTCCCTCAAGGCAATGATAATGAATTTCCTGGGAAATAATATTATCAACAGTCCTGAAGTTGCAAAAAAGTCAACTTTGCAGAAAACAGGAACTAAGGCCTGATAAGACTTTCATCTGGCTCCAGCAACAGACCCAGAGAAGGCTGGACCCCCCTCTGACAGAAGCTCCAAATGAAGCAAAAGGCCTGGAAAGAAATTTCAAAGAAGACCATCAACCACTCCCATCTTTAACCCCCTTGGCAACCTCCTTAGCAACAGACTTTAACCTAGGCAGAAGCCCCACATGGGGGCAGGTTGGAGAAAACTATAAAAGCCACCTTGAACAAAGGAAGGATGCGCATTTGCTGCCTGAGTCCATATTCTGCTTGTGCCTACATGGCCGAACACACGTGGTGCCTGAGCACATGTGTTGCCCACATCTCCCCTCTTGAGATGTGTACTTTCATGCCTTCATATCTAATGCTGGGATGTGTGTAGGCACTCTCTCTTGAGCATATTACTCTTCTTTCTCCCACTTTCTCTCACTCCTTCCCTTTCCCCAAAACCTTCAAATAAAATCTCTTTAGTTCACTGCTTGTCTGCTTCTGAAATTCTTTTCTGCAAGGTGAGACAAGAACCCAGTACCCCTGGGTTCCCTGTTGGCAGAGGTGGATTGGGAGAAAGTGACTCTCTTTCCTCCCCACTTCACATAAGTCACATGTGGGGTCCACCAACATCAATAGTAGCTGCCAGTTTCTGCTTCTGTTCAATATGGAGTCATGGACAGACCAGATTTACCTTTTTGTTGACAACAAACAAGAAATAGGAGCATGATAGAACAGTTTTCAAGACCCTGGAATCAGGCCTTGAAGCGCACTGGAAGTCATTGAGTTCCAGGACTACCTTAGTTTAGGTCTGCAATATTTTCTAGCTACCTGCATGGAGAAAGAATCATGATGAAGCATACTCTCTAAGTTAAAAAAAATAGTGAATGTCCAGAGACACCAGGCCATCCAGAGGGTAGTTCCAAAGAGCAGATAGCTATTGTCACCAGGGTGATAGAGGCTAGTGGAGTCGGATATGCTTAAACACTTCTACTTTATTGAATAACAGTGTATACAATATCATCACCAAAATCTATTAAGGAAGCAAACCCAACTAACTAATACAATGCAACTA